AATCTGTCGGCCCATCACTGCGAAATTGGTTTGTTTGCAAAAATCTGTCTTGAGCCGCCAGGACCAGTAGAATCACTGGAACTGTCATTTTTTTTGCTACTGATGGAAATTTCGTAGATGTTACCCGTACATAAGCACTGCTTCAAATTTGTCTTGCTTGAGTGAATGGCCATAACTGCATATTTAGCTCGTTATTATATTCCAGCTGTCCGGATGGTTAGGGTTTTGTGCGGCACAAATTTGGTTCAGAAGGATGCGACGTAACTTTCCTGTGGCTGTTTGCTGCCTCCAAGAGATAGAACGTAAATTGAAATGCTCAAGCAGATAACCACTTGCGCATCCCAATAAATTAAAAAAAAATTGGGGAAAGATTGCTTTATAACAAATTGTCGGAGACGGAACTGGCTTAAAATCAAAAAAAGAAAAAAAAAAAAAACCGAAAATGTTCAGTGTCTGAACAAATTAAAGCTGAGTGGAATTGCAGTGTAACGAAGAAACCAGTGCAAGGATGGGGACTGCGTACGGACGATACGCTAAAAAATGTTGCAACGCTACCGAATTCAGAAAGCGCGAAGCAGCAGTGTCCTGTGAAGAGAGATGCATGATCTTATCCTCATCCTGTTTGGTCCGGATTTCCAGTTCATTGAATCAAAGTGTATGCATGTGTGTGTACATCCTACTGGATTTTACGTACCCGTGCGTTATCCGCCCAAATACTGTCCAGTTTATAATGCCTGTTTTTTTTTGTTTTGTGAGAAAATGAAATGCAACTGACTGCTGGAAGCTGTACAGAGAACGAGAGAGAGAGAGAGAGAGAGACGAAGCTAGCCGTTGACCCGCTTGGTTGGAATAATCAGTTACTTTTTTATTCGTAAAACGAGCATGCTTTGCATTAACAGTAAATAAATGGTAACAAAGTGATCAAACGAAAACTGCGCAGCGCACCGACTGCAGCTGCGAAGATTTTTCGCATAGTTCTCCGCAGATTTTTGTCGCTAACTGCATGGTTTTTTCTTCGGCAGATGCTTCTAGCTAAAAGAATTGAGACTGAACACAGTGACTGTGAGAAAACATCCCCTTAAAATTTCGGCTTTCCGGCTGTTCAGTTTTCCATTGGTGTCCAGTTGCCGGCTCGACAAATGATG